CATCCTTCCATGTGTGAGGATTCCCTCTCGTTTCCACCCAATTTCGTCACTAAACAAGCTGCTCAAGTTTGTTTGGTTTTCCCTGTTTGTGCGACGTGAGCAAAGGAGTTCAATTCCTTTGTTTGGTTGCATGATTCTGATCAAACACCATCCAGAGTGTTATCAGCCGAAACATCAAATAAGCAAACTGACGTGGTGGGACGGGATCACTAAGATTTTCTCTTACATGTTATACTCAAATGTTGGTGGAAGACATGGAAGACCCCCCTCGATCGCCGGGAATGTTTTGCTCCCCTGCCCTAAGGTGGCATAAACATGCATCTACTCATTGGTCAAAAAAAAATTACTCGTAGTCGATGTTGGATTTCTTGTTGGGGCTGCGAGACTAATATTGTTGGGGCTGCGAGACCAATTTTGGAATTGTTTTCTATGCTTTTCCTTGAAATTTGGGGAAACGGTGAGGGTTTGGAGGAAACGAATATATCAGTGGGATTTCCACTTGATTATCAAAGTCTTTGGCCTCATGAACAAGATAGTGGAAAACAAGCTAGATGAAGATATTGGTGGTAGTGAGTTAATGGTTATAGTTAAAATGAGATACTACGTACGTAGATCAGCCCATATATATTTGTTGAGTGATTCGTGTGGCCTTATTTATGCATGCATACGAGGAGAGGCTGATTATGGAGATGTGTCCTTTTCTCTCAAGTTGGAAAACGGTGAGATTTGGTAGAAATGAATATATAACTTGGTGGTGGAAACAGTGATGGAGCCACTTGGAGAGGAGGGGTGATTGCACCCCTTTAGCTTTGGAAAAAAATTCCTCAGTAGGGGTATATACAAATTTGGATTAGTGACCATTTAGTTGCAAGAAGAATTCTTTATAATCTCGACTGAGTGAGTTTTGTTATGTAATGCACTTTCGTCTTTATTTATAGTAATAAATTATTGTCTTTATTTATATCATCGAACCATCCTCTGCCTTGATGTGATATACACAACAATCATATGGACTTCTGTTGTAGCCCAGCTCAAGCATGTAACTGTCAAATCTCTTGTACCACTGCCTCGGAGATTGCTTGAGTCCATACAAGGACTTCTTTAGCTTACAAACATAGTCTTCCTTTCCTGGAACCTGGAATTCTTCTGGCTGAGTCATATAAATTTCTTCCTTCAACTCTCCATGTAGGAAAGTTGTCTTCACGTCTAGCTGCTGGAGCTCCAAGACATAATGCACCACTATTGCTAGTAGCACCCGATCAAAGTTTGTCTGCCACTAGTGAGAAAATCTCATTGTAGTCAACTTCTTCCCTCTGCGAGAAGCCTCGTGAAACCACCCGAGCTTTAAATCTAATGCCCTCTTCAAAACTGATTTCTTCCTTCTTCTTGTATATCCACTTGTTTGTAACAATCTTCCTTCCATGTGGTCATTTGACTAGATCCCAAGTCTGATTCCTGTAATGGGATTCCGTCTCATCTCCCATTGCGGCAAGCCATTGATCAGCTTCACCACCCGAAACTGCTTCTCTATAGGATTGTGGCTCTCTTGCATCCACTTCTTCAGCAACCTGAAATGAATACGCCACCATGTCCTCGAAGCCATACCTTTGTGGAGGTACTCCTGCAATCGCTCTCTTCGGTCTACCGGAAGACATAGACTGTTGAGCTCGTGCACTTGACTCTGAAGTTTCTAGCTCTGTAGAGACATCTTCATCATGTTGATCTTCTCCACCTTGGTGCTCAAACTCACTCTCTTTGAGAGTTTGCAGCTCCACCTGTTTATCAACATTCCTGCTACCTTCAACAACAGTAACCTTCAACATGGAGTTAAACATAGACTTCTCATCAAATATCACATTTCTAATGAGTATAACTCGATGCTCCAAAGGTGACCAGACTCGAAATCCCTTAACTCCATCTCTGTAACCCACAAATACACCCTTCTTTGCTCTTGGTTCAGCTTACCCTCATTCACATGATAATAAACAGGACACCCAAAAAAATTCAGTGAAGGGTAATCAACAAGGTTACCATACCACACTTCATAAGGAGTCTCAAACTCGATACCTGTGTGAGGTCCACGGTTGATCAGGAAGCACACCATGTTTACTGCTTCTGCCCAGAATCTTCTCTCTAGTCCAGCATTAGAGAGCATGCACCGTGCTCTTTCCAACAATGTATGGTTCATCCTTTCTGCAACGCCATTCTGCTGGGGTGTATCTCTAACGGTCCGATGACGGCCAATCCCTTCATCCTTGCAGAATTCGTTGAACTCAGAACTGAAAAACTCCATACCATTGTCCTTTTGCAGCTTCTTGATCTTCTTTCCGGTCTGACTCTCCACCAATGTCTTCCACTGCTTGAACTTCGTGAAAGCCTCACTTTTTTATTCATCATGAAGATCCAAGTAAATCTCGAATAATCATCAATAATAGACAAAAAAATACATGCTACCTCCAATGGATTCAACTTGTGAAGGACCCCAACAGTCGGAGTGGAGGTAATCCATTATCCCCTTTGTTCGGTGGATACCCTTCTTGGGAAACTTGCTGCGATGTAGCTTTCCAAACACACAATGCTCACAGAATTCCAAATTCTACACCTTGTGCCGCAAAGAAGATCCCTCTTCGACATAACTTGCATCCCCCGTTCACTCATATTCCCTAGTCTCATGTGCTAGAGAGTGGTCATATCTTCCTCATGAACCTGAGATGATGCAACTGCAGCAGAACCTGGCAACACATTTCCTTGTAATGCATACAAGGTACCACGTTTCACGCCTTTCGGTACCTTCCTCGAACCCTTGCAGACATACACAACTCCACCTTTTCATTTGAAACTGAAGCCCTTGTTGTCAAGTAGACTCAAGGAGATCAGGTTCTTTGTCATTCGTGGAACATGTATGATATCATTCACGGTACAGAACAAACCATCATGTGTCCGAACCTTTATGGACCCGATTCCAACAACCTTGCAGACAACTCCATTTACCATGACCACATTACCACCATCTATCTGCTCGTAGGTTGTGAAGCAATCCCTGTTTGGAGACATATGGTATGAGGCTGCAGTATCTAGAAACCACACATCACCACGATGTGCCTTCTCATCTACAGCCAAGGCGAGATCGTCTTCAGAACTGTTGTCCACTTCTGCCACGACAACTGAACCTTGTTTCTTCTATTGCCCTCTTCTCCTGGGACAGTTGTACTTTCAATGCTCCACTTCCTTAAAGTTGTGACAAGCATCACCTGGCTGTGGATCGGGACCCTTGGAATTCTTGTTCGAATTCCCTTTACCAGATTTCTTGCCTCACCACATGTACCAGATCCAGACGCCTTATGTCTGATATCTCTAGTATGAAGAGCAGACCTAACATCCTCCAACGACACGCTTTCTTTACCGGCAATAAAAGAATCAACAAAATTCTCATAGGAGCTCGGCAAAGAAACCATCAGGATTAGGGCAGCATCCTCGTCATCAACTTGAACATCTATATTACGCAGATCCAGCAAAACAGAGTTAAGTTGTTCGAGAGGTTCCCTCAAAGGCGTACCTTCTTGCATTCTCAGCGGCGACTTCAATGATTATGTCATCAGACAACGATAGCATGATGGTCGAGTGGGCCTTCTCCTCCAGGGTATTCCACTCATCGTCATCGACGCTGCCTTCTTCTGTTTAGCAGACAGCGGCCCCCACAGCCCTTATTGTTTCAATAAAGCCTGCATCTTGATATGCCATATAGCGAAGCTGTTCTTCCCCGTGAACTTCTCAATCTTCATGTTCACCGATGTCATTTTGCAGAATCGAAAACCCTAGCCTGATTTCCAGTCGCGGCTCTGATACCACTTGTTATAAATGCACTGCTACGGATCGGGAAATTGCTGGAATCGATAAAGCAAGAATACGAAAGCGAGATTCGAAAAACACGGACACACGATTTACGTGGTTCACTAACACGATGTGTGTTAGCTAGTCCACGGGCGAGAGAGAGCCAGTTTCACTATATCGAGGAGATTACAGATTATAGAGTATGAGAAGTATTTTTAGTACTTCTCCATGTGGGTCTAATCTAGTCGTAGCGGCTCGCCTGAGAATACGGCGCGATAGGGTTCTGGTGGAAAGGAAATCAAAAAGGAGAGAGGAGGATACAAAAGGGAGAGAAAAAGGGGTAATTAATTTCAAATTTGGGGGGAGAGGGATTTTTCCTCATTCCCCAAATTCTTTTCCTTTCCAATGTGGGTGAGAGAACTCAATTACGCAATTAATGTCCAATAAACATCTCTTTAATCCTCACCATTGGATTAAGACTAATGCAGATGGACCGCTTCTACAAGGGGTGTTGAAAATCGGACCGCTTCTACAAGGGGTGTTGAAAATCAGACCTCTTCAGGGGTAGTCAAATTAATCAAACTCGTAATTGGAGTCTGGAGAGTTTGCTTCTCCTATGGATTAGTTATGACAATCAAGAATACCGTGCAAAACCTGTGTGTTTGGTTTCATTTTAATTTTCCTATTAAACTTTATTTTCTTATCATCAATTGGAATGATATATGGGGTTATGTTTGTGCACCCATGAGTACTCATGCACACTTAGGTGATTAGGTATCTATTGATTTAGATTGAGTTTTCACTTCTCAAATTCAATAGGTATTTTATTGAATTTTTTTAATGGAATGCTTGGTAAGGTTGGATTTGAATTTAGAGAAACCTGTTCTCATCCCTATTCATGAACACAAGAATATTTTATATTTGGCTTTCGATATTGATTTTGTGGTTGTTAATTAGAAATTTAGAATCCATATCTCTGGTAAGCAATATATTTATTTTTCTTGTAATCAAAATAATCGTACTTGTAAAAATAAAATAGTAATGGTTACAGTACTATAGATAAAAAAGAATGTAAAATCAAAGATAGAGCAATAAAACTCAAATGCAAAAAGGCAAAAACCGAACTAGACTTTCTATCTAAGTTCAGATTTCACAACTCAACAATTTTATCAGAACATGGACATCCCAACAACACCAACGACGACCGTGACAGCAGCAAACCCAGCACTGACGATGCTCCCCGGGGCGGCCCCAGTTGATGGCGAGACCGGAGTCGGCGCCGGAGCGGCGGATCCGTCGGAGACAGTGATGACGAGCTTCTGTCCGGTAGCGCAATGGCCGGAGACGCCGCAGATGTACCATTTCCTCCCCGTGGTCTTGAGTTCGATTTCGTCGCTCCCGGTGGTGAGTGGAGCGCCAACGAGTGGCTTGGAGCACTGCTGGAAATCTGTGCCGTTCACTTTGAACACGTTGTGTTTCCCTGCTGGGTAATTGAACACTGCATCCACAGCCACCCCCAATAAATGTTAAGCCGAGTAATATAATTAAAGATTTAATGAAACATCATGGTTTTCAAAAACAAATTGTAACGTACAACAAATGAAACAATAAGTATTTCTACTTACCGAGGGAATCACCGACGAAGAACTGCTTGCCGGCGGTCCAAGTGGTGTAATCAAAATCCTTGGTCCACCCCGTCTCATCGCCCACCACGTATTGCGTCGCCGAAGCCATCATGGGAGCGAAAACAGCCAAAGCGGCAACGACGGCGAACATCGACACCACCATCTTCTTGTTCCTGCTTGCAAAGAAGACCATGGCTGCTATTATGAGCTGTTCTTGCTTGCAAACTTCTCTTTTTTATATATATAAGGATAGATAGCTTGTGTTGTTGGAATGATGGAGTTTCACGATACATGGCCCCTGTATTTATAGCAGTAAAGTACTGTTTGTTAGTTCTGTTTGTGTTTTCATTGATAGCTAGCTAGCTAGCCATCACTGTCTCGTTGAAATCATCAACGTAACAAAGCTGTTTGTTGTTCTTTGCAGATTCGTTCGTCGGGACAACCGGCACGGGCCGGCAACAATGACAAATGGATTGAAAAGAAGTGGTAAATAGGCATGTATGTGTTGTACTAGTCGAAGTTACAATTTTGCATCCTACACACATTGGGGTGAATCATACTCAAAAGTTTGTGCGGATTGATTGTCATTAGAAAAATAAGAATTTTTGTCATTAGTGAGTGATATGTTTGTTCATGAGCTTTAACGAGGTTGATTTTGATGGTTATTTTCCCCTTCTTGCTCGTTTTGAGGTGTATTGAGTAGACCACCTCCTACAAAATGATAATGTTGATCTGGATGTTGTGACTCTGGACGAACTAGTTTGCAAAGGATGGACTAGTTGAGGGCTTGAGACATCATGTGTAAAATCTCAACCATTTTTTTATCAAAATATTATTTGCTTTGGACCTACCCACTACAGTTTTGCTTTTGGGCGCATTATAATGACTTTCTGGGAGGTCACCTATCTTTGCACTACTCCATGTACAACACATGTAACTTCAGAGTTATTACAAACTCTCCTTCATTTCACCCATATAATACCTCTTGTCAGTTAAGATTTGGATTGTTCCTTATGAATCATAGATCTCTCTCATTATTTATCATTGTGGAATTGGCTTAATGTGTTAGTTACATCATGGGCTTCAATCTGTATTCCATACACTTTGTAAGCGTTTCGTATGAAACATGTCAGGTTCGACCATTTTAAATGACCGGTTACGTACTAGGGGTTGCAACCATGAATTAGTAATAATCATTGCAGTCAAAATCGCGCATTAAAACGTAAAATCTTACGTTTTTACGTATCCAGACCACCAAAACGTTTCAGTTTCTACCTAAAGTCGCTTAGTCACAAAAACTGGTAAAAACATGGGTCCAATCGCTTAAAATCGGTAAAATCACGATTCTGAAGCGTTTTTATACGATTTTGTTCATCTCATAAAAATGTGCTAAATGGCCCAAAATTATGTAAGTTTGGAGACATATCAGCAAAAAATAAAAAAAGGAAAACATGATTCATCACTCGTTCTACAACTAGTGTCGAGATAGGGGCTTCACATTAGGTTGAAAAGACACCTAATGGTATTCTCAACAACAGCTGACCTTCTATCAGTCTTCTCCCTTAATCTTCACCTGTGGCTCTTACCTGGGTTATGATAAAAGTTTATGGGTAATTGATCGTATGTAATTATGTAAAATCAAACCAGCTTATGAGAATTTGGTTTCTCAAGCTCGTTTACGAGTTACGATCTACGTTTATGAGCTTATTATTAAGATGTTATGAGTATTCTCTACTTTTGAGTCAACACAAATTAGTTTATGTGTTAGATATTACATTTTAATTATGAATTTCATGTATAGTTATTCACTTATCTAAAATCTATGCACTCACATTTTACATACTATATGTTGTACTTAACATATTTTAGCTATTTTAGAGGGTGCGTCAAAAACTTACGCTTTTACGCTATGATTCTGCGTTTTATGATTTTACCCATTTTCCGCTTTTAGATAAAATTGCGCTTTTAACTGCATTAATAATAATAATAACTATTATATTATTATTACTTAAAAAAAGTATATAATTGGGGTCTGCTAAAAGAGGCCGAGCGGCCCTCCTCCTCCCCCAACGCAAACACTCCCCACCCCCATAAATTTCCCCCACCTTGTTGCGGTTACTTAAACCGTTATAGTATTGAGTCTTGTCTGATTCGTTGGATTAGTATCGACTTGTGTGATAGCAAGCCGTCAAGATGTAATCCTAATAAGAAATCAGCTGTGAGCTCTTATGAGCTCACCGTGGATTAGTCACGATCAATCAATCGATCGAGGATACCACGTAAAAATCGTTGTGTCGTGTGTTGTTCCAATTCCGCATAATCAAATTCTTCATCGTATCAGAGCGAAACTCGATCCCTTATCTAGGGTTTTGTGTTGAGGATATTAATTACTTAGTCAAAAAGTAATTAATTCCTTGTCCTACAAGTCCCTAGTTTTCCTTGTTCAAGTAAAAGAAGGAAACTTAGTTGTCCTTAGGGTTTTAACCCTACGTCTATCTATATAAGCTTAGCTACGAGATTGTCGTAAGCAAGCCGTCACAATGTAGTCCCTAATAAAATATCAGTCGTGAGCTCGTTCTGAGCTCACCGTGGATTAGTCTCGATCAATCAATCGATCGAGGATACCACGTAAAATCTTGTGTTCTTTCGTATTTCCGCATCATCAAATTCTACATGGTATCAGAGCAAAACTCGAGCCATTGTTAGGGTTTTGACCTTCCGCAAGTTTTTGTCTTTTGTCTCGTCGTCTTCGTCAATCAGCAGCCACGGCGAAAGAAGTTGTTGGCTCCACCTCCGACTCCAACATCAGGTCGCCGTTGTTGCCCAGTCGTGGTCGTTCGTGGTCTCTCTCTAAAGGTCGTCGTCGCATCCCGACACAGTCGCTGATTTCCATCGGAATCAGTTTCGTCCGCCTCGATCTTCTCATCAACACCAGTCGACGACGCCGAGTAAAGGCCGTTCGTTAGTAGCCTCAACTCGCCGTCGTTCCTCTTGTCATCATCGTCGTCCGGGTCCCGACTTCGTTGACTCATCATCGTCGCAGTCGTCAAGTAGAGGCTGCTCGGATCTGAGCTCCCGCCAGCGTCGCCCTTTTCAGGACACGGCCATCGCCAATCACTGCCACTGTCCACATCTGTTCCAAGATTTGGTAGCTCACATGGTCACCATTTTTGTGGCTGAATCATAAGTCAAGGTTGCCTCCCAGTGAAAGCCGTCGTCCACAACCAGTTCAGTTCGTAGTCCCGCCGACCTAGGCGAAGTCTAGTCCGCCGTGATTTACCATTCCTCAATAGGTCAGACGCAGCCTGGTCAGAGATCGTCTTTCAGCTGCGGTCCGTGTCCATTCTGTAGTAAGAAAGAAGAGTCGATGTCCACTCCGACCTTCAACTCCGGTAGTTCAATGGCGAAGTCCTTCCCGCCAGTCGAGCAAGAGATCTCTAGTCTGCGCCGTCGCCGTCATCGACTGTTCTCTTGTTCTCCATCGTCGTCCTTGTCACCGCTGGCCGTCATCTGTTGTGAAGATTCCTGTCGTTCGTGCATGGCCCCTGCTCGTCACGTCAGCACCAGTCCGCCATCGTGTCATTGTGTCAACAAGAGGGCAACGCTCTCAATTCCTGCTCGGAGCAATCCTATCCCGTTACTCCGTTCAGCCACGCCGGTCGCTGGCTCCGCCACCGTCAGTCCACTCGCTGGCCGTAGTTCTGGTAGTAGCGGCTGGTTTCCGCGGGACGAGCATCAGTGGAGAAAGAGAAAAGGCGAGAAGGAAGAGGAAGGGCAACGACGGACCCGGCAACGTAAACCTAGTGGGCCGACCACCCTTCCCTTTTGGGCCTCGTCCCAATAGTCCAAGAATCAGGCCACGTCGCCCTCGTCAAGTGCATGAAGTCCTCTTTGGGAGAACAGTTGGTTGGAGTGTGTTTGGTCAAAGGAAGTACATGGTCATTGTTGAAAATTTGTCCGTGGTAGAGTTTGGTTGCTTTGTTTCAACCGTCATCAATCGTCAAAGTTGGGGTTGTCTTTGTCAAAGTCACGTAGCAAGCAATTTTTCACCAACATCAGTCAAGGTCATGGCAAGGAGACAATCACGATCCATCCTTGCAAGTACTCGGTGTTGGAGAGAAAGAACACTTTCTACAACAAAGTTTCCTTAAGTCGTGGAGCGAGGCAGTCACGATCCAAGTACCGATCGTCCCCTCGACATTCAGAAATTGGTCACTTTTCAGTCTACACCATTCTAACTTTCAAGCTGGGCATTCACGTTGTTCATGCTCCAGCTTGAGGGGGAGAATAGGAAATCAACACATGTAGGTCGATTAGTTCAGTAAATCAAGTCGACCGCGTGTATCTATCAATCATGTTGCTCGGGGAAGCACAGTCAGCAGTGCAGGTAGAAGTCTCCAAAGTTAGCAACGCAGTCATCAGTCTTCAATCTCATCCAAGACGTCAAGGAATTCTGCCATGCTGAGTTCATTGTCAAAGAACTGGGTCAAGTATGGAGTAGGATCAGTCTCATCCACGACGTCTAGGAGTTTCACCATGCTGAGTTCACTGTCAAAGGAACTGGGTCAAGCATGGAGTAGTTTCATCATGTGTCTACCCCTCCCGCAAGCGAACAAAGTCACAGCCAGTTGGATCGTCATTGCCAGCAAGAGGTTGTTTGAGTGTTGTTCAATTTCAAGCTCGACATTCTTGTCATTCATGTCTTCGCTTGAGGGGGAGTGTTGAGGATATTAATTACTTAGTCAAAAAGTAATTAATTCCTTGTCCTACAAGTCCCTAGTTTTCCTTGTTCAAGTAAAAGAAGGAAACTTGGTTGTCCTTAGGGTTTTAACCCTACGTCTATCTATATAAGCTTAGCTACGAGATTGTCGTAAGCAAGCCGTCATAATGTAGTCCCTAATAAAATATCAGTCGTGAGCTCGTTCTGAGCTCACCGTGGACTAGTCTCGATCAATCAATCGATCGAGGATACCATGTAAAATCTTGTGTTCTGTGTTCTTTCGTATTTCCGCATCATCAAATTCTACATTTTGAGCTTCCGCAGTCATCATCCGCTGCATCTTCATGGCAGCATCGACGTCATCAATCTTCGTTCTTCCATTCGCCCGATAGTGAGCGCGAGTCATCATCACTACCATCGACTCATGAGTCGCCGCCGTACGTCTCCTCCATCTTTCCATCGCTCGGCAGTAG